GCTAGTTATGGAATGAACACAAATGTTCCAGCTTCAGTCACACAAATAGATGTGTTCTGTCCTACAGATATGTAACTGCTCAACACCTAGTCGCTTTTAAGCCAACTACGGCAGTTCTGTAAAGGAATTATCACAACTTTCTTAGAGACATGCAATTAAAAAAAAAAAGCCTCTTATTTTCATTAAAGTCAGCGCATACAATGAAATAGTAATTCTAACAATTTTGTTTTTAAAGCTGTTTGTTAACAAACACTGAATGTGAACAGGCAGCATCAGCATCAGGTTAGAGGGCAACAGAATTCCACATTATAATTTAGCCTGCGGTTATTCCTGATTGCATGCACCCTCTGGGACTGCAAAGCAAGATCTTCTTTTGCAGCACGCTTGGATTTTTAAAATTAGTGCCCCTCCTTTTTTGCATAATAAACTAACATTGAAATATGGATTTAAAAATGTACAAACCACTTTTTAAAAGCTGTAATCAGTTTAGGATTTGCCTTGTGCAAACGAGTCCTGGGTAACTAAGTTACAAATGCAAAAAAAACAAACAAACAAAAAAAACAAAAAACAACCAAATAACACAAACAAAGCCAAAACCCTATTAGATCCTAACAGTATTTTTTCAAGACACCTCTGCCATGCCTATACATCTATCAGATGTGCTAAAGTTGATGATTTTTGTTTGAATTGTATTAGTTCAATCCATCAAAGTCGCCATGACTGTTCTCTAACCTTAAAAAAAAAAAAACCAAACAAACATAGTTGCTTTCAACACTTTTTCCAAACATCTCCCAACTAAATATTCCATGTTGCTGTAATTGTTAGATTTACCAAAAACACAGGGAGGTTTACTGTGAAAAGCGAAATGCAATTTCCCTTATACATGATAAAATACGTTCTTCCTCTACACAGAATGCTGCCACCACCACTGAGATGCAAGGAGCAGCAACACTCCACTTCTCATGGCCATTAGAAGTATTTTTTTAAAAAATCTGCCATGTATAAAGACCTTCATTAGTATAATTAAATGACTGTTGGGTTTTTGTGATATAAACAACTTTTGATATGTCATTTAAAAACCTCATAATAACATCATTAAAGAGCCACCATTTTTAAAAGAGAAATTGTCTGCTCAGGGCCATGGAATAGTCGTCTAGCTCTGGGCCTCTTCCTCGTCTCCCTTTCAGACTTCTCCTGGACTTGAATGTCACCATAGACCTTGAATCCTTGAATGTGAAATGGCTTCACGCTAATTGCTCTAATTGCTTGAAGATGTGCAGGCAGGTGAAACCTGATCCCCGTGGCCATTGTAGAGACCAAGAACAACACAGGAATGTTTACACAGTGGTTTGATTTTAATAGAAGGGCTGAGTTTAAGACAGCAAAAACACAGCGAATAGGTGACCTCTTAATGTAGTCCTCCTCCAAAAAAAAAAAAAAAAAGGACACATAACAAAATATGATTTCATGTTCTAAAAGGCAGTGTCCTAAATACCAAGGTTATTTGCTTGACTCTTGGAGATGAGTACATGTTACATTGCACCTGACATTTTATACCCGAAACTCTACCCCGAATATGTGTGTGTGTGATTTTTTTTTTTACTTTAAAACAAAAAAGCACTTTATGTGTCAGTCACCTTACAAACAGATTATGACTCTATGGTATTTCCTAGTAAGTGCACTCATTTAAATTTTAAATTGAATATTTTTCACTGCTATAATACTCCCTGTCCCTTAAAGGGGAAAGCTTGGGTGTCTCCTTGTTTATTTCTTTGCCTCTTCTGTCCCCATCCCCATTTATGGAATTCTTGACCCTTGTCCATTTCTTGATTGCAGTTGAAGTTGAGCCCAAATCCTCTCACTCTGGTGCTTCAGACATTTGTCTAAAGGCTTTCGGTATCTTGTTTCTTTGTTGCTGTGTGGGACTGTGGTCTGCTTGCCCCTAGACAGACCAAGGTCGCCATTAGAGTGGCCAGAATAGCTATTCAAAAACACTGGCTATTCTCCTTGATATTTTAGTGATTTGGAATGGACACTGAGGTCTGAGGTTTAATGATAACTCCCAGGGCCCTCTCTTAACAGGGCACAAATGTAACCAAGGATGGACAAGAAATACATGACAGCAAGGCCAAGATAAAAATATAGCAGCGCCTACGAGGTATCATGAACAAAAGAACCCACAAAGGTGAGGGGAAGTGTTAGGTATTGAGATAGATAGGTAGGTAGGCAGGTAGGTAGACAGATAGCTCAAGGATCCAAATGTATAGAAGCATTTCATATAGAGCCAAGGAAATACTGCTAAACGGAAAAGGAATGAGACATATACTACAGTAGGAAAAATACGGCCAAACAATGGAATTATTTTAAGGTTAAGCTGGGCAATTAAGGCCAATGATACACCTTGTAAATGAGAACAGTGAAACAGGAAATACCCCATACAGCAGGGAGTACTCTCTAACTGCTGCTCTGCCTGTATATTAACTTCTGATGATGAAATACAAAAAACAGCAGAAAGGGGAAAAAAGTCCTCTTAAGGCTATGAAAACTTTACCTATATAAGTTAAGTAATAAATATAGGCGCTTCCTTTCCTGGACTATTTGCTCCCCCCAAGACATTGAAAGAGAAAATAATGAATCAAAAATAACTGCACAGAACATCCCTTTGAATCACAGCCTCCCCACACACATCTATAGACATTCCTACCTTGTTCTCAAAGTTATAATCCCCGGTCGGGCACGGTAGCTCACACCTATAATCCCAGCACTTTGGGAGGCCGAGACGGGTGGATCACAAGGTCAAGAGGTCAAGACCATCCTGGCCAACATGGTAAAGTCCCATCTCTACTAAAAATACCAAAATCAGCTGGGTGTGGTGGTGCACGCCTGTAATCTCAGCCGCTCAGGAGGCTGATGCAGGAGATTCACTTTAACTCGGGAGGTAGAGGTTTGAGCGAGCCGAGATTGGACCACTGCACTCCAGCCTGGCGACAGAGCAAGACTCCGTCTCAAAAAAAAAGAAAAGTTATAACCCCCTATTAAGAAGAAATGCCCTCCCCTCTGAAAAAGGAGGGGAGACCAGCATCCATTTGTACATTTAAAGATTAAGTATAAACCAATCCAAGCCAGTGAGAGAACACAGAAGAAAAAAGTAAACAGGCCCCTACCCCTACCCCCAAAATAGTTCCCCTTTGAAAGTTCTAAGCGGTGAGTGCCTGGTACCGAGGGCTGCCCTGTTCCTTGGAGGGGTCAGCAAAGCTATGCTAAACTGACAGGTTCAGTTTACAGCAGGCCAGAACTTTGTTTGGATATACTGGCCTTGTTCACCGCCAGCTTAACAACAGATGGCTAGAAAACTTTCATTATGTTGCACAGGACTGAACTGCAAACAACCCAGAAAACTGTGAAAAGTTTAACTCCCTCTGAACCAATGTGCCAAACCAGGGCCTGCCCAGAGCCAGTGAACCAGCTTAGGGCCAAGGGGGCTGTGGAAGTGATGGTTAAAGTAAGGCTACCCAAGTCAAGGCAAGGCACCTTTCCAGGCTCCAAAACAGCAGCGACCCACCCAAATCTCTATTTAACTCTTCAAAGGCCAGGCCATATAAGGAGTTGCATCGACTATGCCTTCTTTACTTTTCCAAAATGTACTGTCAGAATTTCCCGCCCTTTGGAGAAAGAAAATCTTCCACCAGACAAGTCCCAATCCCCAAGCTGCCGTCTTGCCTTCCCTTCTCCTGGAAGTTGGGAGCACAGGACCAAATAGTCTCACCCTAACACCCAGAGTTAAATTTGATTTATCTAAATCTGTTTATAATTTAAATATTCATTAAATAGATTCAATCACATGAACCCTAATATCTCCTAATGCTCTGAGACAGGTTATAAATGCACCTTCAAAGGTTTAATTCAATTGGCAATCTGAGAAGCCTTATCACTGGAAATGTGTTATTTTCATATTATGCAAGAAATGAACAAATGTGTTTTCCACAAATGTATTTTAGAAGCCACCCTTTCCTGTTATTGAAAGAAAATTGTGTTTATTACTCCTTTAGCATAGTGTAAACTCATAAACGTCAACAGAGAGTACAAGGAAAACTGTCAACTAAATATTGTTTCCTTCATGAGCTGTTCTTCCAAGTCAATTACGCCTTTCAACTTCTGGGGCATTGTATGATAAACTGGCAGTAAAAATCATTCACATTAATATACCATGGTGCCTTGCCTGCAAAAGGTAATTAAAGAAGTAAATGACTCATAAGAATAGACATATTAGCTGCAAAATGAAAGGCAACTGAGCTGCCACATAAAAATATGTACCATTAAGATACTGCATTTTCATATTCCTGTAATCAGCTTCAGTAGACTAATGCTTATTTAATCCAGTTCTCTGCTAAGTCCATCAACAACTGTTTTTTGCTGTTTTCTCCTTGACTGAACATTATGAGAGCAGGTTTAGAATAAATACTGCAATGAGATTTTTGCATACTCAATTGAAGAACAGGTTTTTACATTTTAAAATCTATTTTTCTTTCTCTGAGAAATACAACATAAAAAAAAAAGATTACTGGTGGAAAAATACGTATGTATATTGCTAGTAGACGTGTCCCTTTAAATGGCAGAACATTTCAGCAAAATATTTGTTTCCATATTCACTATTTCTGACCTGTACCACTATCGGCATAAGGGTGTCATGCCTCCACTTGCCAGATCTCAGCTTCCTTTATGAAGCACTCCCTTTTGTTAATAATGTCTTCCATTAGCATTAGCAGGATGAGGGCAATTTATCCTTTGGCAGGGATGTAAGGAGAAGGCAAGAAATGAGGAGGGGGTTAGCGTGTGCGGGGTGGGAGAGTATCTCAGACATGACTAGCAGCCTCTGAGTCCTTTTCCTTCCAGGGTGTTAGACTGAATAAACCCTGCTCAAAGAGAAATGAATTGACCCTCAAAATAACTGCTCTATTTTCCAATCTCTGGCTTTCAAACTGACATTTTGCTCACTTCTCCATATCCCTTTATATTTCAGCACATCCTCACCAGCCCAGCCAAGCCACAGCAAAACATCCTCCATACAGTCTGAGAATTTTCACTCCACCTGCTCACTTCTCTGCTGTGGGAACCTTGATCTTAACCAGTGAGATGGGTCCACCATTTGTACTGTTAATATTTTTGGGAACATTAGATGCATGAAGTTTCCTGGAGGCGGGACAAATGCCTGTTCTGACTGTGGTAAGCAGGGCTCTTTGTTGATAACTGATGCAGTCTAAAGCTTTTGTCATTTCAGTTTGGGAGTTACAGTTTTCAGAACTCTTGCAGCTCCCCCGATGTCCAATGCCAGCAGTGAAATCAGCCTAGGATATTTGGTCTTCTATCATGTGTGTCAACAAGTCATCAGCCTTCAATAACATCTGAATACATCTGGATGGTGCCCATTAACTTAAAAAAAAAAACCCAAAATATAATTCTATCTAGTTTTTTTTTTTTTTTGGGTGCAAGACCATGGGCTTTCAATAAAGGTAAAGTTCTAGATTTCTATACAAGTTGTGCCTTCTCTCCTTCCCTCCCCCTGTGAATATATAAATCTCTTTGGCTTTAAAACTGATGAGCAGTCAGCCAGGCCCTCAAGGACAGTGCAGGATGTGAGGGTGGCCCTACAAGGACCCTCCAAGATTTATGTATCTTTTCGCAGTTCTCGGAGCTATGGAGAGCCTCCCAGATTTAGGCTGGATCTCCTTGTAATGTATTATTGCCTCAGTGTTCGAGCAGACACCACATGGAACCACAACTAATGAGCTCTAGTCCTTTTTCTAATTAAGGAACAAAGGTTCCTGTGTGCACAGAATGGTGACGCTGTCTGGAGAACGCACGTGGAGGAAGAAGCGAATGCTTCTAATTGCCTCAAAATGGGATTTTTAATATTTAGGAACATAATGGGATCGGGAAATAAGAACATTTCCAACATCCTTTACAAATAAGCCTTTACAAAATATTGTTAGCTGTTAATAATACATCATTATCAAAAATGGAAAGTCATGAATACAGTGCATGTAACCTTTGTATTCATGTGAATTAACCTATATGTACGAATACAATGATACATGAATTAGTTTTTAAAAATACATTAAAAAAAATAAAAGGCCCTTCTCTGAAAAAGAAAGGCAAGAAGGCAGCTCCTCTGAGCCTGATATTCCTCAGACCTTAGCAGATTAGGATTCAAACATGTAATTAAGAAAGATAACCCCAGTTTTTATAGTAATTAGGGGCTGTGGGAAATAGGATACTATCTCTCAAAAGTGTTACAAATATACCACACTTCTAAATAACCTGCAATGCTTGGAAAGTATACTCACTACCAAGGGCAAAGCTGCTATGCAGTGAGGGAACAGTAAATGACAGACTGGCGTTCAAGTCCATTAGCTGCTATGTGATAGGAGCACATTCACTGGCACGCGACCTGTGAAAAATCTTAGATCTCTTTAAATCTTTGAATTGGATTACTGCATTAATTCTTAAGAACTGCAATCCTTCAACCAAGTCAAATTACCCTCATTAACAGTGGAAAAACTGCCTCTGCAATAAGTTTTTTAAAAAAAGATATTTATTACCTATAATCACTTTCACATACTTCACCTAGAAATATGATGAACTAATGCCAAGAACTCTGAAAATGGCATCCTGGTTTCGCATATTAATTTGGGTTAAAATAAAAATACAAATGCAAGTATTTGCATGCTATTTAAAATGTTTTTTTCACATCTCTAGGAAATTTTCTTTTATGATTACAGCCCTCAGATAAGAAGGAAATAGCTCCATTTTACAGGAGGGGAAATTGGGGCATACAAACAGAGACGGAGCCAGGTGTCTAAGCTTGGCCGGGCTAATTGGGGTAACGCAGAGAGTCGCCTGGTCCTCTGTTCTGGGCTCACGCTGTTGGAATTAAATCAGAAATTCAGATTCATAATGGCACCATAATACAATGCACTGACTTCTCTAAATCAAACTCAGTGAAGTAAACGGCAGGCAAAATAAATAAGACAGGAATGCAGCTTTAAGTGTAGAAATGATAACTGCAGTAAATACCACAACAGAAGCTGCCTCAATTCTTCCATCACCAGATTTGCTATTACGTTTTAACCTGCCTTGAAAATTCATTGAATTTAGAGTGATTTTTTTTAAAAAAAGAAATGTTAATTGATCTACTCTGCCCTTGTTACTCCCTAAAATGGTCTCATCTGAAATGTGATGACAGCTTGATCGACTTTGAACAACTTTGGATACTTTATGGGAAATGAACTCTTTGAAGCCCCAATGACTTCTATTCCTCGGCTCTAAGGATTGTTACTGCTTTGGTTCTATTAATTCCCAGCACAAGCCAGGGCACGAGAGTCCTCATCCCAGTGAAGCCAACCAAGTGGAGACAGGGTTGAGCACAGGCAAGCCAGTCTGCATTTACTGAAACAGACTTTTTTTTTTTTTTTTTTTTGAGACAGTCTCTCTGTTGCCCAGGCTAGAGTGCAGTGGTGTGATCTCAGCTCACTGCAATCTCCACCTCCCAGATTCAAGCAATTCTCCTGCCTCAATCTCCTGAGTAGCTGGGATTACAGGCTCCCACCACCACGGCCAGCTAATTTTTGTTTGTTTGTTTGTTTGTTTTGAAACAGTCTTGTTCTGTGGCCAGGCGCCAGGCTGGAGTGCAGTGGTGCAATCTTGGCGCCAGGCTGGAGTGCAGTGGTGCAATCTTGGCTTACTGCAACCTCCGCCTCCTGGGTTCAAGCAATTCTCCTGCCTCAGCCTCTCAAGTAGCTGGGACTACAGGCACATGCCACCATGCTCAGCTAATATTTGTATTTTAGTAGAAATGGGGGTTTCACTATGTTGACCAGGATGGTCTTGATCTCATGATCTCCCCGCCTCCGCCTCCCAAAGTGCTGGGATTATAGGCGTGAGCCACCGCACCTGGCCAACAGACTCTTTTTATATTATGTGTTCAGGAATGGGAAAAGGTGAACAGGTAGAAGTTGCTTTCCAGACTTGATATCAATCGATACTTCTAAACAGCCACAATAAAATGCTAACTGGAGTTTATAATAAAACCCAGGGGCACTACAAGTTTCCCAAGTACTCACAGTAGTTGCATGCAAAATCTGTTTATTTCAATTTAAAGATTTCAAACAAAGTAGTACTTACTTAATATATGATAATAAAAACCAATTAAATAGAATATCATTTCCATTGATCCCAAAATAAACTGTAACTTTTATTTTGACTATTACAAAAGTTTATTTAACAAAAAGTCTAATGTGAAAATGTACATGAACTATTTTTTACATCATAGTAAAACAGGCCCTATGGACATGTTTCTCCGCTGAACAGCCATTATTTATACTTGTTCCAAGGCTTCTAACATGATGACACTATTTCCTCATATTACCACCATTGCAATATTGTTCTGTTGTCCGCTAGTCGCCATCTCCACACATTCATCTGTCACAAGATTCATAAAGGGATCAAATCCCCGCAATATTCCTCGGACATGTCTGCCACCATTTAATTTCAATGATAAGTTCTTGTCCATAATTTTTTTCAACTCGGGAGGGTGAGCTTTGCTCATGATGGCTACTCCGCGGGCACACAGAGGCCTGGTAACAGAATGCCTACTGTAACTCTTTTAAAAGTTGAGGATCCCTTATGCAAAATGATAGGGATCAGAAGTGTTTTGGATTTCAGATTTTTTAGGATCTTGGAATATCTGCACACACATGGTAAGGTATCTTAGAGATGGGACCCAAGTCTCACCATGACATCCATTTATGTTTCGTACACACCTTATATACACAAAGCCTGAAGATAATCTGATATAAGACTTTTGACAATTTTGTGCATGAAACTAAGGTTTGACTGCAACTCATCACATGAGGTCAGGTGTGGAATTTTTCGCTTGTGGCATCATGTTGGCACTCATAAAGTTTCAGATTTTGAAGTATATCTAGTTTTGGATTTCCTGTTAGCGATTTCAACTTGTAACTTCCAAAAGCTCTGTTCATGAGCTGTAAGATGAGCATTTCGATTCCATACCAGATTTGTAGTCATAGTTAATATAGTCTAATGTTAGTGAAAATAGCATTTACCAATCTCACTTTGTGTCAGGATTCACTATCCTTCCAATGACCTTCCAAGGTGGGAATTATCATGCCTATTTTACAGGGAAGGAAAACAAGGCTCAGGGTGGTTGACTCCCTTGCCCAATGTCATACAGCTTCTAAGTATTCAAATACTAGTACTGTCTGGAGGAGAAGGTGAAGCTTAGGGGAAAATCAGAGAGGAACTTTTCAAAAGAGGACTATCAGAAAAGAGAGGCATCTGTCTTGGGACATTAAAAAATCTGTCAAGAAGCCAGGCATGGTGGCATGCACCTGTAGTCCTAGCTATTTGGGAGGCCACGGTGGGAGGATCTCTTCAGTTCAGAAGTTTGAGGCCAGCCTAGGCAACATAGTAAGACTTGGTCTCCAAGAAGAAAAAAAATGCCAAGAAACTGTGATCCAAACACCAGGCTGTCCATGACTTGGAAGACTCATTGCACACCTCCTTCCCAGTGACACTGCATGTTTTGAAGGACAACACAAAAATTACTCTTCTTCTTTGGCTCTACCATTTGTAGAGTCCCCTCCCCCACTTTTAAGAGCTCTGTGACTGTCAATCAGGTGCTTTTCAAACAATAAATGCTTTAGCGGTGACCTCAGAATTAACTTGGTTTCACTACGCAGGCAACTTTTCAAAACAAATGTTAAAGTTAACCATTCTACAGGCACCAGAACATTAGCTTCTATTTACACATCAATTAAACACATAATTTTTGGTGTCTACTTTGTACTCAGCACTGTCTAGGCACTGGGCCTAGGAGGGGAGAACAAGACAGACCTGGCCCTTCTCTTTCTGATACTGCAGTCTAGTGGGAGATAGAGTTAAGACACCAGCAATCAACAAATCCAGAAATAATTAGAGATCCACCATGAACGAAGCCTCAGAGAGAGGCTTTACTAAAAAACAACTTAACTTCTCACTTTTAACCTACCCTAGATAAGTCCATCAAGGAATTCATCCATGAAGAGGTGCTACTTAATATGAAACCCACAAATAAAGAAGAAGTCAAACAGCCAAGGAGCAGAAAGGAGGCTCAAGAAGGTGGAGCACAGAGGCTGAAAGCATGAAACAGTGCTTAAGAAATTAACTTACTGGCCGGGCGCGGTGGCTCAAGCCTGTAATCCCAGCACTTTGGGAGGCCGAGGTGGGTGGATCACGAGGTCAAGAGATCGAGACCATCCTGGTCAACATGGTGAAACCCCGTCTCTACTAAAAAATTACAAAAAATTAGCTGGGCATGGTGGCGTGTGCCTGTAATCCCAGCTACTCAGGAGGCTGAGGCAGGAGAATTGCCTGAACCCAGGAGGCGGAGGTTGCGGTGAGCCGAGATCGCGCCATTGCACTCCAGCCTGGGTAACGAGTGAAA